ATAAATTTATTTTATTTCGATAAAGAAATAGTGTAACCCGGATATAAGAGAGATTTTCTCTGGTCCCAAATTAGAGCCTGTGTTATGTATATAAATTAGACCCAACTCGGATATAAGAGAAACCCGGATATAAGAGACTTCTTCTCCGGTCCCGACAACTCTTATATCCGGGTGACACTGTATAAGCATGCGTTTACATTTATGCTGTACGTTTTGTTCAAAAAGTTCAGCTTTTACATGGATTTCTCGTAAAATAGTTTTAGGAGGTATTTCTAAAATTTAAGTTTTTTGCTTTATGTTCCTTGATTAGTAACTAATTGGCTGAATATAAAAAGTCCTTTTGGGAAGAATACAAAATATTAAAAGATAAGTATACAAAAAAAAAAAAAAAAAAGGACTAAAAATTATATTTTATGGGAATATATACAAAATACAAATTGAAATAAGCCAAATAATTTTTCTCTTTCTTTTAAATTGAATACATATATCATTCTTATATTTTTGCTATATTCGTTGATATTCATAGCGCTCACCAGATTCTCTTTTGAAGAGGAATGTTTTGTTCATTAAAGTCTCATAACCTTTTAAAGAGCGATGAGAACAATTTAAAACTATCTTAGCACTGAGTTAACGATATTATCATGATTCATATACATTGTCTTGTAGTAATTACTAGTTTACTTCTGGTGCCTCCTTCCACCCAAAAAGGGGGAAAAAAAATTCCGAGTGCTCTTAAATAGAGCTTCTATTCTCACCACCACAACAAAATAAAATCCGGAATAGTTATCGGATTCTATTTAAAAGCACTCAGCATTCAAAGCACTTAATATTGACTTGATGAGGAAAAATACATTGAAAATACTTCCAATACCCTAATTATTTTATATTTAATATGAAACTGATCTCATCAATTAAAAAAATAAATAAATAAAAGAATGAACGATACAAACTTCACGAGACGAGACACTAAACAGCTACAATTGAAAGGAATCTATTTTTACTGAACATAAAATTTGTTGCAGCTACTAAAACAATAAAAGATTTAATACAAGGGAAAAAGATAACCTAAAACAGAAACTTTGTTGCCTGTAATAACTAACATAAGGACTTTTACATAACATTCAATGCATTAGTCATCGTAATGAGTGACGATAATTTCAATTTATAAAATACTACTTTAACTACAACAGAAAGCAGTTTATTAAGGCGAAACTCTATAGAAAGTACACTGATTGCTAAATAATTCACGGTAAACTTGCGTTTAAGGTTTTTCAATATTTCTTGGCAGATCTATTGTCACAATGTGGGATACTGAAAAACAGATAAAATAAAAGTGTAGGGAAACTGAATGGGGTCGACTAGACTGTTGCCAACAAATATGTCTGACGAAAGAATATGGTTAAAAAAAAATTAAAAATATTGTTTAAATATAATTTTAAATTAAATAATGTAGCGTTTTCTCATCTTCAGCACTTCCCCTCGATACATAATTATAACCGACGCTTCCGTTTATAACACTCCCTCCCCCACTATGCATATGTAATTCCATCAATAACGTCATTACTTTAGTTCGATGAAGTTCTTTTAAAGGATGAAACATGTTACGCTAAACACCAAAATGGAAACTTCTATGTCTATCAGACACGCAACATTTTAGATATGCGGATATTTTGGACAAGATGTTTTGGACAGATGTTATGGAGAAAAAAAAAAGAATATAAACTATGCTATCATTCCAGACATGCACAAAAACACTTGAGAGAGAGAGAGAAAAAGAATGAAGATATCTTTTCACCGCCGTCTGGTCATTACCGATACAAAAATCACACATTATGCGTTGTTTAAAGACATTTAAGAAGAGGCTGATTGGAAAGATATGAAATTGAGCAAGCAAGAGTTAGAAGTTTGAAAGGAGCTTAAGGAGTAACTTGGAATCGACAATAAACAGCTGATCGTGTTGACTACTAGGATAGAAACTGGGAAATGACAGAAATAAAAGTTCAAAATTCAATTAACATGTTTATTAGATAAAAACCAACTTTAAATTCATGGAAGCATCCACTTGAAAACAAACTCACTATGGTTTGCAAAACAAAAACTTTATGGACCGAGCTAAGGGATGACAGCAATACCTTTAAAGTAAACAAATACTATGCGGATGGTCATAGCGAATTTTAGATGGAGTCGAAATAGTACAGATAATAATGAGTGGTAGTTTTAGCCCTTGTAGCATATTGTGTTGGTAGCAGTTTTGAAAGCGCGAATGATTGTGAGAAGAGTCATTGATGTTACTAATCGATTTTCTATATCTGGAAGCTCTTGGTCGACTTATTTACCTTGGGCTAATCCGAGAAAGCATCCGAGAGACGAGAAGAACCCCACCCGCATCCTTCACACTTTTTCGTGCACATAAAAGCTGGTTTTTATTGCATTTTCGAACTTACCACTGATCTTTCAGCCTAATTTGGAAACACATTTCAAAGATAATTTCAATAATAAGTTATAAATGTTGCTACTGGTTCGGTGACGAAAAATTAACTCGGGTCTTTTCGGTAATTCCCGTAACTGAAAGTAACGCGATTTATTATTCTTACTAATTTACAAATTTCTTCTTTACAAGTTCATTTATTTACTAACAATAACATCTCATTACTTAGTATTTTGTAGCATCTTGGAGATTCTGGTGAATTTTCCTTCCAATAAAAACCATTACGGAGATTTGGAAACAAGCAAACATTAAAGAAAATCTTTGGATGACAGACTTATTTGCCAATAATTAAAGTACAATGCTATTTTCCGTAGAAATTTTATTTTCACAAAACCGCAAAGTAGTGTCTAGTAGTTTATTATTTTTTGTCATTTTTAGTTTTGGAGCGAAATCCATACAAACAGACACTTATTCTATCAGAGCAACAGAAACACAATCATCATTATTTCCTATATTCAATAATAATAATAATTTGTAGCTAATAAGATAAATAATCATGAATTAATTTCTTTTGAACATAATAGCTGAAAGGCTGCCCACAAATACTTTTTCGATGTGACTAGAATATCGCAAATATAGATTAAAAATACAAATATCAGTTATTGTAAAGTATATTATGAGTCAACGAAGACTGAAATTAACAACTGATAAATTTAAAAATACTATTATACACACACACACACACACATATATATATATATATATATATATATATATATGATATATATATATTCAGCACTGAGTAGCAGTGGTGGTGTTTTTTCGTTTACGCTCTTCGTGGATTTGGAAGATAATCATTATTTAATGCTTTGAATACTGGGATCATGAAAATAGCAATTTTATAAGAATAAAAACACTTGTGCAGAGAGCTGTTCATATTATGAACTTTCTCTAGTGTAAACTATAAAAAGTTTCGATTGCAGGCATTCATAAAATGACGGCCCTATATTACTATGTGTTGTGTCCCTCCACAATTTCCTGTCTTCTGTATTCTTAATAAATTTTGCCGTGCATGTACAGAAGCTCGTTAGGTAGCTTATGCGTCGTTTTGCTCTAGCCCTCTTACCTTCAATGTGCCCTGTGCGTGTTAATTTTTCCAAACCCTTTTTCTTCATTATGAACCATAGAAATTTCAACTGTCTCTTTTTGGTGTTAAGTATGTCATTTTTCTTCATTTTTTCTAAAACATCGTCGTTGTTCACATGTTACTACACATTCTTTTTAAGAAACATTTTTTCGAAACTAAGTATTTATGTAAATTCGAAATATGTAGGTGGTCAAATATAATATTAATTTTGCCGCATTTTAATTAGTGTGGTCACTCACTAAACGGAGTTTACTTCAATAATATTCTTGTTCTAAAATTTGTTTAGTCCAAGAGTTGTCGATTTGAAACTTTTGACTGAATTTTGAGACACGGTGATACTATTATACATTGATCCACTTGAACTAGTTTTTCGTCTTTAAATCTGACTTGAATAAAACTAGTTACGGTTAGAAATTATAACATTAGGAATTTGAAAGAACTAAAGTACATCAAATATGAAAACTTCAGGGGTTGAAAGCTCAAAAATGAAATGCAAATGTGTTCACAGCATCAAACCGTTAAAGCGACAGTCAGCAAATTCCAAATCGCTCAGAATTTACTGTTGAAGTTTCCACATCATGAATACCATTAAATGAATGCTATATTTAAACTTAATTAAACCCAAACAAAGTGGTTGCTATGGATATCTTCTAAAGCAATTGACAATTAGCGAAAAAGCAGGGTCAGAAATTTAAGTACTGCGCTGTTAATGATATTTTTATCCTTAAAATCTATGATCGCATGAAGAATGTCTACCATGTGAACTGGTCTTCGTATACGAAGGTTGGATGTTGAGTATTGTCGAGGTAAGAAATCCCTTAACGACCTACGGACAGGATTGTCTGTGAAAGCAACCTTTGTTAGAGAATAAAACTATCTACACACTACAAAGAGAGGAAAAAAAAGAAAAAGAAAAAGGAAGTATTCCTGACTTGCTGCAATGCCTTTAAGTTGGTTGGGTTTTATGGCATATCAACCACAGTAGGTCATTTAATGCCAATTTAGTTACATATAATATATATATATATATATATATATATATATATATATATATATATATATAGTACGATCAAACATATAGCTGGCAACATTATTTTTTTCAAAAAATATTATCAGAGGCCTTGCTGTTAGACGTAGCTTATCGCCATACCCACGACGTGCAATGCCTTTAGGAATGTTAGGATCAAAACCTCTGAATAGTCTTCCCCGACATATAGGTACATCAATAAATGTGTGGGAACTAATTGTGATAGGTTTTCATGTGTAAAAGAAATTCTATTTCCTTGTCAATTACGTATGGAATATTAATAGCATAAAATTATACAGTGAAAATATATCTAAATTCAGCTACTATCTAACCATTAGGTTGCATAATTACTGGTGCAATTTATATAAAATGTGCAAATAATAATAAAGAAAACTTACGCAGAGTCACAATGCAAACATCACAGCATCCGCACAATCCTTTGCTAATACGACCATTGCAGGCAGTGACAGAGCGACAATTGATTCTAGAACAAGTATCCTTCAAGCAAACGAAAGCATTGACAGTTGCAATGCACAAAGCAAAAAGAATCACGATCTTCATGGTAAAATTCACGTCTGAAATATAATGAAAAGCATGTATTAATTCTTTCAGTATTTGATTTTTAACAGACCAAGATTCTTGAAAGAAAATTCTAGGCGATTAAGATATATTCATTTATTTTACAATGAACAGCATATCATTGGTATCAAGAAACTTTTTGATCACCCTGAATTGAAAGATTTTCGGAGCCATGCGAAATAACCACTTGATTCCCGCCTGAAATTTTATTTATAATTGTCGTTGGTAATCGTCTATAACGATCTTATTTTCATGGTTTACAGATAATTCCTTTCACACTCGGAAAAATTGATAATTAAAAAATATACATTACCTTACTCGAGATAGATAAACGCTTTTGGCATCGGTTTTTCGTCTACATTCAATTTGTATGACACTAATTTGTGGTCTAAAGACAACTCTCTAGTTTAGATGATAAGTTGCATTTTTGTGAAAAATTTTTTATTTAGTCTTACACATACCGTAAATACTCGCGTATCATGCGAATTTTGAAGACCTAATTTTGAAGCTAATTTGACTAGAGTAAATGGATATATAGTTTGGATAACGGCGTAGTCAGGACCACAAGTAGATACGCTAATTTTATATCTCGTCTATGATGCTTCTTCCTTAAAATTAGCTTCAAAATTAGGTCTTCAAAAGTCGAAGGATACGCGAGTATATACGGTACACATTGCAAAAAAAAAAAAAGAGAGAAATGGTCCGTTCTCGTGTTTCCAACAATTACGATTAAATAATTTTAAATATGGCTTGTTCTTTTTTTTGTTTTTTTATTCGTTGACAATTTGGTTTCCTTTCATTTTTTCGCGTCACCCATTTTGCAAATACGATGTTATCTAGTGCAGGTAATATTTAGCACTTCTTTCAAGAAATTATTTTTTCTCAGAAAGTTCTTGTTCTGCCTCTTCAATACTGGGTTTGCACAGTCATTTTTATTTACCGACATTTTGAGCTTTATCATTCTTTTTGTACACGGGCTAATTAAACTATACATAGAATTAATTCAATGATTCCGATACGTTTGTATTCTTTCTTAAAGAAAAAAAAGGAAGAAAATTATATTTGTTATTTAACATTTTTTTAAAGAGTGCAATTCTTTATACTAGAACTTCCATTAGATATCTGATGTACACTGGGGTTTAATAACCATTTCCTGAAGTGACCTACATAATTTTTAAATTATTCAACACTTGAAGATGCAAAAAAAAAAAAAAAAAAAAAAAAAACTTAAACAATAAAAAGTAAATAGTTATGCAGAGATTGTGATAATATTTGCGCGCAACATATAAAAACTAAAAAGGTAAAATCGAAGAATTGAAAGAATAAAGTAGTTTAACTGTAAATAGTAAAATAACTATTCAAATATTGTCAATTTTTATGCTTAAGAGACACCTGCTGTTGAAAGGACCAATTTTCTGATAAATAAAATCATTGATACAAATTCAGCTGCCGCTATATTTGAAAAACGTATAAGTGTATTGCTAATATGACATTATCGTCTGTATCTGGGTAAAGTTAACAGTTAAAAAGTTACATTATATCGAATATTTATTCGCAAAAATTTAAGAGTAAGCAGCATGGTGGGTCCTTGCTGTAAATGTCTGGAATAGTGGAAACAAAGAATGTGCTTCACGATAACATCCACTACGAAAAGGTCAGTAAAGCAGCGAGAGGCCAGTAACGTTTCGTCTGTGGAGAAGAGATTGAAAGTTGGAAAACAATTTATCACCCTCAAGGTCTTGGAAACGCTTTTGAACTCTGTCGAGGCTGGAAAGTGACGAGTGGGCAGCTTCGTCACAGATGTGGCATTAATATTGCATTTATCGTCTGCATACATATTTACTAGTGATCTGAGGATGTTCTTAGGTAGATCGTTAATATATAGGAGAGAAAGGGTAGGAGGATAGAACCTTGAGGGACAAAGGAATGACCATAAATAACTGCATTCAATGACCTACCAGAGAGGGAAGAACTTTATAATTGAGAAGACTCTCCCAGAATTCCATTGCTGAAAGTTTTGTGTAGCAGACCCCTACGCTACACATTGTCAAAAGTCTTCGTGATATCTAAGGCGATTTGTTTTTGTGATAGATTCACTGATTCTATGAGAATTATTATGACATCAACAATGAACCTAGAAGAGAGAAATCCATACTGTCGCTCGGAAGGTTATTACTGTTGAGGTGATTGGCAACCTTCTTATAATATAAAATATAGTTTTAAGATATGCTATATTTATGGAATTAAGTGCTCAATATCAGAGATAGAGCGTATGTAAATATAAGCAGTATGAACACTGGATAGCGACTGTTTTTTCATGTTTAAATGCAATCAGCAAACTATTATATATGTGTTAATATACATAATATTTACCATTCGGTTATATATATGTAGATATAAGTAGGCCTATGAAAAATTTTGAAAAATAGAAAATAATTCTAATTTATTATATATTTAAAAACCACCAGACGAAATATAAATCGACGACAAAAATGCTTAACACCGGAATTTCGGACGCACCGGTGTCCTTTCTCACTTAAAAACAAATTGAAAGTGGAATTTTTTAAAAAGTTGTTTAAACAGTTTATATTGCTCACGTTCAACATTTATTCAAGAATTGTCTTAGATAACGGTCAACAGTTGCCTAAAAGATAGTGTTGTTACATGATGCGGATGTCGAAGATTTTAGTTATAATATTAAAAAAAAAAAATTATTTAATTGGGCTAACTTCAATTTGTTTTTCAGAGGCGGGTCCAAAAATTCCGGTTTTAAATCCTGGTGCTTCTATTTTGTCTACTGGCCTAATTATTCTTTTTCCTTTTGTCGGATTCTTTTCATACCCCGCCCACAACTACTATGTTTACATTTTGCCTTTTTGTAATTTTGGAAAATTACGAGGTCCGACCAAATGATTCCCTCAAAATTTTGATGTTTGGTTGTTTATGTCATACAATCATCGAGTGGATAAAGAGGCAAGTAGTTACTTCGGTAAACAGACGTTAGAAGTGAGCTGGGAACGACAAAGCTGGTATCGAACCAGGAACGACCAGATCAACCGGGACACAGGCTGGTGGCAGTGACAAGGAGTCAACCCCCAAAACGCTGGTGGAAGAAACCTTACAGCTTCGCGCCGCAACTGGGAGTTGACCATGGGCCGACAGCACAGTGTCACATATTGGCGCTGCCACCACCAGTGAGTGTCATATAAAGTTGTGAAGAACTTGGTAATCTGAAGAAGGATGAAATCCTGAGAGCTCAATGTAAAACCAGAGCTAATATTTAAAAAGAAAAACAGACCACTTTAAGGTACCATTACATTGACAATAATTTATTTCACCAGAGTCCTTTTAAAAGGACGCCGGATCATCAGATAACACTTCCAAAAATGAAACGAAACGAAAAATGAAATTAAAATTGATGGGTAGTGTAAGTTTTTGTAATTTAACAAGGGGTGTGAGAGGGATAGGTAAAGAGACATGGGAGAGTATAGGGAGGGGTTAATTTCATATCTCTCTCAAGTATACTTTATATTGGGGTGGGAGGAGTGACCAGACCTTTTAATATATATATATATATATATATATATATATATATATATATATATATATATATATATAAATAAAAGGAGATTCACACTAACACAGACGAGAATTTACTGACGAAATAAAAATGTGAACGTTTTTTTCGAATATGAAGAAAAGGATTGGTGTTGTCAGTAAAATTTTAGAAAAGCAGAACATCCTGCTCTGCCACTTTTAATCAAACATCACTGTAAACAATATGCTGTTTAAACACACACATTACAATAAATTTACTTACACCAATGACAAAAAAATCTACTAAACCTGAATATAAAAGTTAATTAAATTCTCATTTTATGTCAGTAGAAAGGATTAGGATATTTGCTAAAATAAAAATTAGAAAATAGAATCAGTGGATAGAGAAAATTAGATGATAAAGTGTAAATTGGTCTGAAGTAATTGCCCATTAGCGCAAGATATTGGTAAAGTAAAAACAGCAATTCGAACGCCAGGTTTTCAAGCTGATAATTTTTAGCCACTTGAAAGATTTGAAACGATCCATTATTCTTAGAGACCGATTTGAGAGTTTCCTACGAAGGTTAGCAAGTGTGAAAAGATAAATCATTTATCATCCACGGCGTTATTGACTGCGGGGTGGGTGGGTTTTGGTCTGGGTGGGTGCTTTCACTTTTTGATGAAATTTAGTACTAAATTGAGTACTAAATTTGTCCTGTCGGCCATAATCTATCGCAATGCTATTTCCATGGCAAATGTTCTGACGAGCTATGTTCCTTAGTTCCACAGTCCTAACCTATACAGTTACACGTCACGTAAACAAGGGACGAAATATCCAAAATCTCTTCGCATTCAATTAATAAGGAGAAGGTTTTTACTTGGATAGCTTCTTCCATGGAATTGCTACTTTGTGAAATAAAGTCTTAATGGGATTTTTTTCTAGAACGCTAAACTTTTAACCTCTTCAAGTCCAGTATTATTCGTGGTCTCTTTCATAAACTCTTGCATCCACTTCTCATGCAACATCATCTATTAACCATCTATTTTGAGTGACTCTTGGGCCTTGCATTCACTAAATTTAAGTGCAAAAACAAAAAACAAACTTGAAAACAGAAAGGAAATGTCAAATCAGTTTACCACAAACTCGGTCATTTTTTTTTAATAAATGCTCACTCCAGTTAATCTGATAATCTTCTAATCAGACAAAGATATTTTAAGTTTCGGTTGATGATATATTTAGAGAATTTTTTTACTGGATGATTAAATTGTACTCAAGGAAGTAAGCTAAGCAGAAAAGTAAAAGAAAGAAAGGAGAAAGAATTGCAGTTGAAACTTAATACCACTATTCTGCTGATAATGGTTTTAATAATTCACTATTTGTAATTAGTATTATCGCTAACACTGAATACAAACTAAGATAGTACGATAATAATATTGATGATGGATGAGTATGAAAATTTTTTCACTTTATAATAAATTAAGCCTTATGGTTGTTAAGAAAAAAAACGTTATAACAATGTTCCGAGTTACTGACAAGTTTATTCATAGATTTATTGAATTGTTTTCTTTCTCTTGACACTTTTAAATTAAGTGTTGTTCTACTTTCTTATCAATCAAGTCCTTAAAAGTAGAAACTGCGATGATCGATTCTTTCAAAATTAGGCACAACTCAACAAGTGAAATTGAAAAAGTGATTCATCTATATTTACTTTTGGTGTATTTGAATGTTATTCATACAAATATTAAAATGCCTCTACATTGGAAAAAAAAGATTATTTATAGATGTACTCGGCCTCAGTCACGAAGTGCCAAATCAGGAACGAATACGTTAACTAACTTTGAAATTGCCTCACTTGTGTTATACAGAATATGTAGTTTAACGAGACAAATACCTGCCACTGTCGATGAACGTTTTTTTTTATACTTGCATCTGTTGTCTGTTTTTATAAAAATAAAAATTGGAGAGCAGAGTTCAAATTTCCATAGAGTCTGTTGTGTTCACTTTCACACATATGCCTCCCCTCCCGCACCACGGGGAAAAGCTTGAATCCACCTCGTTTCAAACTGCGTTAAATAGCCGGATAATGGTCATTCGATTCTTGGGTGGCAGTCAGATACTGAGAAACTATAGTATTTAATTCAAAATCATATAGAAGGTAACAAAACCACTTTCTGAAAAAGTCATAGCAATTCACTGATATTAATTAGATAAAGACACTGAAGAGAGTCATTATGTGATTGCACATGATCTAAAGGAACAGGACATTAAATAAACCTAAATGGAAAATATATGGGAGTTAAATAAACAGATATTTTTAAAAAAACATTTTTAAAAGAGGTTTTCATGACCACACCAGTGGATATTTACAAAGCTCAAGACGACCCCGTACGTGCTAAATGATGTATTGATGGATGTGAATTTAACGCCTGGGTCGACGCGAGCTCCCTTGCAACAGGAGCGTCTCTTGAAGTAGGGGAAACTATCATGGAAGATGCGTGTTGGTTCCGTCCCGAAAAGAATACACAACATATCAACCTGTCGGAATTAGACACCATTCAGGCGAGGGAAGAACATTAGCATAGCTTCTAGTCATTGATGTAGATTTTTGCTGACTACTTTTTGGTAATTTTTCTTCGGCAGGTCGCACACAAGACACGAACTTTTTTTTCGGGGTAACTGATTATCTCTTTCACTACAACCAGAGATGGACAGATCGCACTGTGACGATTCCAAAAGGTAAACGAAATAATTGGTAGGTATAGTCAAAGAAAACGAGTAAAAGTTACTATTGCAAGAAAGAATGTACGGTTATTAGCAAAGAAGACTGCAGGGCGAAATACCAATTTGAGACGTCATAATCCATCACGAAAACGAAGTTTAGAGAATTTAACCTTCACAGGACCTATAGAAAGCAAGAGGGGCAGAGGGAAAACAACGAGTGACCCCCTAGCTAAACCTTCACAGGACCTATAGAAAGCAAGAGGGCAGAAGGAAACAACGAGTGACCCCCTAGCTAAACCTTCACAGGACCTATAGAAAGAAGAGAAGCAGAAGAGAAACAAGAGATAGCTAAACCTTCAAAAGGACCTATAGAAAGCAAGAGGGCAGAGGGAAAACAAGAAGACCCCTACTTAAACACGTAAGGGAATTACTATATGCGAAAGAATGTAATAAAACACTAAAGTAAAGAGCAAAAACAAAATAACAAAAATTAAGACAGAAGGTACAAATATAAGGATGTTGAGGAAATCTATGGTTGCCCACGTCCTCATAGACACCACACCACATAAATGAAGTCCCTCAGGAAAGGAAATAATGGAACAACCAAAATTTTTTTTTTGCATAAACAAAGCTACAGTTAAAGTTGTAGTGTAGTTATAATAGTTCATAAGTAATTTTTTTCTCTCTCTCTAAAATTCTTTATATAAAATAATCTGACAAGTGCATATTAATAAATCCTTACTATATCAAGATGCAAATGTAAAGTTAAAGTCTATTTGCAAATAACATCTAGTAATGATACATTTTCTTTTAACGCAACTAAATAAATCAAAAACCATTTAGCGTAATTCATAAGCCTATGTGCATGTCGCCATAAACGCAAGAGGATGGGGAAAAAAAGAATAAAGAGAGCTTGAAAACAAATTGAAAATGTAAAAAAAAAAAAAAAATATACGAAGCGTCACTCACCTGAACGGGCAGTAACAAATTACAGACTTGTTCAGCAATCAACATTCGTAATTTATACATAAATCGCTGGGTGCTTATCAAATTTACAGGTGCGGTTTCCCATCGTTAATACACTACGTGGCAAACTTGTTTAAAAAAATGCGGGTAGGACGATGTTGGTGTATGAAAGAGCCATCTGGTGTCAAGGATGTCCATCTAAGTGCAGAGAACTCGTTAATAGTTTCTTTTTCTTTTTTTTTTTCTTTTATAAAGAACCAACGACAAGGATGTTTTTGGAATGAATGAAGCATCGGGACAAAATATTTGGAGACGATAATTGCTTTTATTTACAAAAAACATTTAAAAGAACAATTTGTAGAAATTAAACAGTATAACTGAAGAGGAAGAACAAGTGTGTGTGTGTGTGAGACTATTAGATAATTGTGAAATTGAGAAAGAAATTATGCGGTTGTAATAAATCATTTACAAAACCTGGGGTATGCGACACATAACGAAGAAAACCAACCTAACTAGTCATTAGAAATGGTCAACCAAACTAGCTGGCTAAAAAATGCCCCTCGCCGATGTACACGAATATATCATATATTCTCTGTGTATATATATATATATATATATATATATATATATATATATATATATATATATATATATTATAATTATAATAATAATGATATTATTATTATTATTATAAGAAGAAGAAATCTCGAAAATGTGGCATATGGGAACATCAACAATCCCTGTTGTAGTTGGAGCCTTAGGACTGGTTGGAAAAGATTGCATTAGACTAATTGAAGGGATTCCTGGAAGTCCAATGCCTCAAGGAGATACAAAAAATTGTTCTGACAAGTACAGCCCACACCTTACGAAGGGCTTTATCTATGTAATATTTATTTATTTATTTATTTTTTGTCAGTGGAAAGTGTCATGATGCCATTTCTAACCTTAGGTCCCTGGGCGGGACCCGGAAAGAAATGTGTAAACGCCAGCAATCAAAGGAAAAAAAAATATATATATATATATATATATATATATATATATATATATATGTGTGTGTGTGTGTAACAATTTTTTTTTTTTTTTTTTTACATAAAATACCCTAAATATACCAATTAACTTAAACTAGAACACAGGGTGGAAGTATAATATACGGGTGTAAATATAAAAAAAAAATACTATGTCGAGACTATATATCTAATGTTTGAAGCCAAGCCTAGTACTTATAAAGGTGAAATTATATATAAACACGTTATAAATTGATCACTTTAGCGTTGATATTCGTGGTAATGTGAACCATAAACTAAATATTAACACCAATATCAATGCTAAAGTGATCAATTTCCCAGACATTTGACCTAAGTAAGGACATTTATAAACTATACAGTAAAAAAAGGGTATTATCCCCCTTGATACATTGTTTACTTTTGAATCCAAATTCAAATTTAAATTATTTTTTAAATTATTTTTTGTTTTTTTCACTTTTTATTTTTTAATTCTTCGCCTTTCGGACTTATGAATTTGAATGATATAAATTATTAATAGTTAATTCTAATATTTTACGCAACAATAATTAAATAAATAAGTTTTGACACATAATTTAACGGTCAGAATATATTTGCACCTGAAGATTGCAAGAACTGCATGAAACTGAGAGTCGTGCTATCGACGTGGGATATTATGTATATTTACTAATATATACTTATAGCTCTGTTGCATAACATTGAGCGCTATATTTATAACACCTGAGGAAGAAATACATTTTTACGTAAGTGCAAGTAAGTGCATTCCTATATATATATATAGATAGATATAGCTATATATATGTCCGAGAAATTTCATAGAAAATATGTGTTCTCCGATAGGAATCGAACCTGTATCCTACACGGAATCGTCCTATGGCCTGTCGTGCTATACTATTTAGCTACAGAAACGTCAGGTTAGCAAATTATTGTTTCAAGTAGATATGATCGTTCAAGAAAAATCATGAGAAATTTGTTGTTTAAAAACAGTAATTTGACTTTGCTAACCAGATGCTTCCTCCGTAGCTAAATGGTATCGTACGACAAGCTATATGAGGATTCTGTGTAGGGATACAGGTTCTATTTCTCTTGGTGGATACATATTTTTCTATGAAAATATATGGCTGCGAAAGCGGTTCGCTTAGAAGAAAAAAAAATCGGCTTTTTTACTCAGTTCGGGACCAATACGCACAGACAACGAAGAAAAAACTCAAGATTTAAGTTTATATTTTATTTAATGTAATTAAGATGTTGGAGAAGAAGGAAACAATAAACAAAGAATGGCAGAATGGAAAGAAAATAGGAAAAAATTGTCATGAGAAAAATGTTCAATTATTACTTATCTATCGTATCATATTATCGACGAATTCGTTGATCATTCTTTCTTTTTCTTTCTCTCTCTCTCTCTCTCTCTCTCTCTCTATATATATATATATATATATATATATATATATATATATATATAGGAATGAATGAATAGTTCAGAGTAAATAGATCTTGTCTTGTCTGGGTTGAGACGTTTCCCTTCATAAGTAGAATTTCGGTCATTCAACATAGTTTATTGGTTTGGTTATC